ATATATCCCTAGTCGCAGAATTTTGTCCCGAGGAAACGGAGGTTATAGGGGTTTATGGGTGGGGAATGAGGAAAAGCAGTAGAATGTCTTTTGATAATTGCTATATGCATTTTATTTTATTTTATTTAGGCATTTTATTAATTTATATCCGTAGATTTGTCTAATCTGCATTATTGTTTAACATATTGCTGAAAAATACAATTATCAGATTGCACTTTTCTTGAAATTCCTAAAAAATAGAATGCTCATTAAGAGGTTGTCTACATCAACTTACCTGAGGTCCAACTTACCATCCTGGAGTTAAATAAGTATGGTCCGCGGCGCAAAGCACCACGCACACCGGCAATATACATGCGGAAAAACTTGCTTTCACCAGCCGCGGGAAATAAATTCAACTACATTTTTCCACTTCTACAAATTTTTCAATGTCTATCCTACTCCCCTACCCCCCAAACCCCTATAACAACCGTTTCTTTAGAACACAATGATAGGTTGAGCGGTGTATGAGTCGCACAACTTAAACAACATTTGCCGTCCCGTAAAATGTATTTGTTAAGGTGTGCTTCCGGAGGGACCGAACTGTCGTCCACTGTTTAATAAATTAATGAACTTAATAATTAATGGTCACCGTAAGCCGATAACTTACATAATTTGTGTCCCATTCATATTGTTGACTGAGAAATAAAATAATATATTTGTTGCCAGTCGTGTTTGTTTAGCAAACGAAAACCCTCAGTAAGCTTCATCTGCCAAACATTGTAAAAGTAAAGTGCGAACAAGTTTTTTTAAAATCACATTACCTACAGTTGTGTATTGCTATCCTCAAGACATCTCGTCATTAGATGATACATTTTTAAGCGTTACTATGCTTTTCTTATTGATGACGTTTTAGGCTCAGCCTAAACACTTCCACAAAGTCAGATCCATTCTTTAATACTTATTTCTCTTTAATGGCATCCCCATGATCTTATCTGCAAAATATCTGATAAAAGTCAGACAACTTTACGCCTGCGTAAATTCTTGTTTGCGCTAACAAACTTTCATGAATCATTTTTTGCTGTATTACGTAAGTGTGCCCGTATGTGTACCCTACTTGCGGTTGTATGCTATGCACCAAATTACATCCAATTATTTACTTCATGTTCAAATGACGAAATAAAAAGACAATATTAATTACGAAGTTAAACTGTAGTGCAGTATTCCAGTCTATTATGAATAAATGCATTCCAATGATGAAGTGTCACTCAGCTTATTCATCAGAAACGTCTGTAAATGAAACCATTCAACAAAAGGACACTTCCGTATTAAGAGAATGAGATTACATTTAAGCCCCGCAAATAGCACAATTAACAGCTTTGCATCCAGTAAGAACACCAGCACTCCTTGTGAATATTGGTAAGTGGAAGGTTGTATGATTCTTCGATCCTATAAATACTAAATCGCTTGCGTGCTCATCACCTATCTGCTTGACAAATTGTCAGCTACCTGCTAAAATTGAGGGTTGGAATTTTCAAGTAATTAAAATACTTTTTTTCCTGTTTGAATTTAATGTTTCTGGAATTGTTTCCAGAACATCTTTTTGTGCTTTAGTGGTGTCTTATTTATGATGAATGAATGTGATAGTTCTTGAAAAAACCGTTCATAATACTAGCGAGCAAGATTTATGTATTCGGAAAAACAAACGCTCAGTCGGATTCGGTTATGACAAAACACACAGACTTTTATCCGCCTGAAGAACATAATCATCTTTCGATTGCTACATGTTTTACGAAGGAATTAACTGACATAAAGTTGGAAATATATTAATAAATAAATTCAACTTCGCCGTTTGTTTTAGTTATCTGTTTTGTCTGTGGTATACTGTAAACCGATTTTGCTCATTTCATGCGCAAAGTACTAACAGAACCCTATTGTCTATTTCCAGCTGCTTTCTGGAACCCTGTGTGAGTTATTGCCATTCAAAAATAAGTTAGATGGACATACCCGTTCGTCGGTTGAGTTGTGACGTTCGGCATCACGTCGTACGGACAAGTGTTCACTCCGTGGTTTATCAGTTTCAGGGCTGCGCCTTCCTGCCTGCTGTTGTAACTTTTGTGCCCGCATTGAATTCAACTGCATCCGCATAAGCCGCATCCACTTTGACTTCCTCGAGGGCGCCCTTTGCTCCTCCAGCACAGTCTTGGAATGAACAGATAGGTAGGTATCCTTCTCAATTTCCGGAGAAGGCGTCGTCATTCGGGGCAGATTATCAACCTCCAGTGTCAATGAGGAAAACTTTTTCATTTGCGTAGGAGATAGATCTGTGGTAATAATACATGCTGAAGTCGCAACCTCTATGGTGCAGTTGTTTGCCATAATCACGGGTACATCCTTTAGCGGCTGAGCGGCAGGCGATGATTCCCAAATCTGGTGTTGTCCCGGTTCCTTCATTGACATGTGTTTTGCCGAGAGTAAATTAGGGTTTACGCAAAAATCATCTATCCCACTGAGGCGTGAGCAAGTTGTTATGGAAAATTCTAAGTCTTCTTTTTATGTATATATTTGTTGTGCTTAGATCTTTCTGCAGCTGTGATGTGTATCAGGTGCACGGCGGGTCGCGGTTTTTAGCGTTTTAATTAGAAAACTCGAGGGCGATTGTGATTGGCCAGAAATCTGGGCCAACTGCATGAATCACGACACAGAGAACGCAAATCTGCTTCAAAAATACTTATTGGGCAAAAGCACTTTGCGCTTGGCCTGGATGATGTTCTTCGCATGCTTAGCTCCCCATACAGTCGGCATTTATGCTAAACGAAGTCAAGCAAATACATTGGATTTTAGCCGAATTATTCAGATTTATATAATAGCATCGCATGTTGCTTATCTTACTTTAAATCAGAAAAATTATTCGATACATAAATAGTAAATAAAAATAGTCATACGAAATTAAACAGGTAAATTGGGCTAGGCCACATAAAATTTAAAACATCAGAAAGAAACTCGTTGACAGCATCTGTCTAGGTCATTACTAAAACACAGCGATAAATGTCTTATGCGATTTCAGTCGGATTGGCAGAAACATGCATTCAATTCTTTATCGTCAGACCCGGACGACTACCAGGACCGTGGACTCAAAAGTTATGGGCAGTGTTTGCTTTTTTCTAGAGTGGAATGGTTAGTTATACGTTTTGTCTTCACGCTGCTTGCTTTACAAAGTCAACGTGCAGAGGACTTTGGAGCTGGGAGCGGACAGGGGAGGGGATCACTGTATGTAGGCTGTGAGCAAGGTATATGATTAATACACGCGGATTGCATGTGACTTTTATCAGGAAGGTGGTATGGCGTGCGTGTGTCTGTAACCTGGTCAAGGGTAACATAATTCTGGCAAAAAAACGTTGCCTTCGATAATGTTCCAGCTGTTGCAATCAGCCGTTTGCTTAAGCCTAACAAGGCCAGCTGCTGACACGGATTGTGAACAGTTATCATGGAAAAATGGCTAATACAAACTTTGCTTACTTTCGTAATACATTAGTAAGGTGGTGATCCGTACCTAAGCGACACCTGAGACAGAAAAGTGGAAAGCCACTAGCTACTGACGTAATCAGGATGGATTAGCGAGTAATTCCAGAAATGTGAAATTTTCCTCTGCCTGTTCCCGTATATTAAACCTACCATAAACCATTACCGCTGGCTTAGGGAAGGCCCTCAACGCAGCGTGAATCGAATTGTACTTTAGAACTGAAAATTATAAATCTAAGCCTTAACATAGAACTAATCCTAACACTAACTCTTATCATTATTT